CTGCTGCTGAGATCACTGTCTCGGGATTGAGGTGGGATTGAGGTTTTTCCTCTCCTGCCTGGAGAAGGGCGCAGAAGGAAAATCTGAGTCTGACCAGTTCTATCTCTGGTCCTCGGATGGGCTTCAGAGGGAGGTGGTGGGATGGTCTCTGTTTGCTTTGCAGGTTAGCTAGCTTAAGGTGAAAATGAATTAACCCCCTTTGCCAGCTTTTCAGTAAGGAGGGCAAAACCTTGCAGGAAGCAGTGTCCCAACAGGACACTCCAGGAGCGCTGGAGAAGCGGCTGGACCCTGGCAGGTCACAGGCCTCTCGAGGGCCAGCAGTGCCACAGGCCCAGGCAGGGGATGCGGCATGTGAGGCCTTGTTCCACCATTAAAGGTGGAAGGATCTCTGCTGTGCCCCATCCCTGTGCCCATGGGCAAGCCTGTGCTGGGTCATGGGTACTGCGTGTTTCTGTCAGATCACACCGGGAGAACACCCCAAGAGGAAAGCTGTTGGTTGTTCTCCATCCCATCTCTTCCCTCCCCTGCTGTGTCCCGCAGATTCCCCAGTGACCTAACCGAGGACAGCGCGCGGCTGGAGGATGGGGTGAGCCTCGGGGGATGAGCCAAGGTTACCTTTTTCTTGAATCAAACTGCACACTGCCGGCTGGCTGCCAGGCTCCTGCCGCCCTGCCCTGATCTCTGCCCTTGACCAGACCACACTGGACTGAACCCGAGGAGATCATCTCGCTTTCTTACTAACCACCGACGGTTTACGCTTCCCCCCCCGCCCCCAGCCCACTGATTCTTCTTTTATTTATTTTATTAGTGGTTAGGTTTATTTTTTTATTTTATTTTTGTATCTTTGGGGGGGGAGGGGGGGCCCTTACCCCTTCTTTTTGTTGTTTGCTCTTTCCCGAGCTAGTAGATCTATTTTATGAATTGGCTTTGTGATTGTGTTAGGTAGTTTTTATTGAGGAGTATTTTTATTTGGCTTTGAAACTGTTTGGAATATTTTCGACTCTGTTGTTGTTGTCGTCAGTGTTTTTAAAGCACGGTATGTGACAAGGATGCAGTTCTGAAGGGAAGAGAAGAGACACAGAGAGAGCAAAGGCGGAGAGGAACTGCTGTATTTCTATATTTTTTTTCTTTTTAAAGAAACTGTTTTTAATTGTTTCTGTTTTGTAAATGTGAGGCTTTGAAAAGTGTGAAACTCCAAGGATCCGAACGCGTTGGACACGGCTATGGAACAGAACAAATGTATATTTTGCTAAGTGAGAAACGCTATCCTTACAGCTGAAAGAACTTGGGGGTTTTGGGGTTGTTTTGTTGGTTTTTTTTTTCCTTAGGTTTAGTTTTCTGTGGGGTTTTCTTTCTCCTCCTGTATCATATGTAAATATTGTGAGCTGAACCTGGCTGCTGCCTGCAGCCTGGCTCCCAGGAGCAGCGCCAGGTCCTGGACCTGGTGCCGCAGCGTGAGCAATACTCTCCAGCAGAATCCTGACAGGACTCCGTTCTTTTTTTGTACACCTTTTACTGTAAGATTTTAAGACCTCTGTTGAGATGAAAGGGGGGTGGGGGGGTGAAACGTACCAGCCATCGGCTGGTTTGCTGAGCGGGTTAAAGCTGCTTCCAGTTGCTCGATGTACAGACTCCATCACTGGGCTCCGTAGTGCCAGCCTCTGGCTTGGCTTTAGGTAAAGGGCTTTAACGCCATTGCTTGTCTTGGTTACTTTGAAAGGAATTCGCTCTCCAAATGCTATCGCTTGTGTCAAGATTTCCTGGGAAGGGGCTCCTCCTCTGGAGGTGAGGGTATTGGAAGGGGTTTCAGCCAGGGCCAGGGGGAGGTTTGGGTGGTTGTTCTCTGAAGGGCAGGGCGCTGGGCTGGGGAGTCGTTAATGGGGGAGAAAAGCATTAGGGTGGTGATCTGGGGGCGGGTTAAGGGCTTCTCAGGGATTATATGAATTATAGAATTGCAGCTTCCCGTTTGCTTTACTCTGTGTTCTGAAGACTGTGGGAATTTGTCCCTTCCTGTGCCAGGGGTGAGCTGGTCCCTTCTCCAGAACCTGCTGGGGCTTCCCCTGGTGTGATCCAGGCCCCTGCTAACAAACACTGTGCCAGAGGAGGCCTCCAGCAGGAGTATACGGGGCAGGTTTGGGTCTGGATTTCAGTGAACCAAAGACCTTGTTAAGGGGGGTGATTAAGCCTTTCATTAAGATGCAGCCAAACTCTTTTCCCAGGGAAATAACAGCTTCATCTTAAGTTTTAAAAATCATTCCCTCTCTTCCCCCAAACTGAGCCCCTGTAAGGGAGAAGGGCATTTAGGAAAGGACTGGAGGGCCACTGTGCCCACAGGGTCCTCTTCTCTTCCATCCTTTCCCTGTCTGCCAGAGCTTGTCCTGACCCAGGCGATGTGTTTGGAGAGTTCTGTTTAGGTAAAGAGGGTACGTAACAGATCAGTACTGAAAACACAAAGCAATAATTTTTGTTACTGAGACAAGAGTCTGTATGTCTGTTTTTTTAAATATTTCCTAATTAAAGAAGAGCTGCATTTTATTGGGTTTATTTTTATTCTATATACTTCAAATTTGGGTCTGCGGACAGCGCTTTCCTCTCTCTTTGGTAGACGCGCTGAGCTGCTTCCGTGCCCCCTCCAGACATCCAAGGCCAGTTGTGCTGCTGCTGGGCTGTGATCACTCTCTGGCCAGTGCTGCCGCTGCCTGGAGACTGGGGCTCCGGTTTCAGGGTGGGCATTTTTTTTAAAGGAATAAAAGCTGTGTTTTTAAGCCAGTAAGTTATTACACTCCCGTGTTTGTTCTCTCCACACCTGTAACCCTTTTTCCAGATTTCAGTTTTAAATTCCTAATAAATTATTTGAAAACTGGCCTTCTCTGTCGTTATTTGGGGTGGGAGATTTTCACATGGACATTTCAGGTGAACTCGGACCTAGCCAGACTCACATCCTGCCGTTAGGATAAAAGCCCCAGGCAGGGCTCTCTCTTCTCCTTCCAGTCTTTGGCAGTGGCCCAGTTTCTAATGTGCGGCAGGTCTGGTTTTAACAGATCGTGTCTCTTCTTTATGTTCCAGAGGTTTTGTATGGATACCTGTAGATTGAAGAAGGGAGAAGCTAGTGTGGTGCTCGGCAGTTTGGTGGACCAAGGAGGATTGATCCAAGGCAGTAAAATGTGGAGATGGGAAGGGAAGAAAAGTCCTTAACAGACAACCCTGCAAGAGGAAGGTGAATTGTGACTGTGAAATAGCAAGGAACCCCGCACAGCAGGTCTTAAATACAGACAAGTCTTAAAAATACCTTAAGGCTCAGACCAGTAAGTTCAGGAACCAGCTGTAAGTTGGGATGTCTTCACAAGCATACCGAGGACCAGAGGCTTGGTATGCAGCACAGGCTGGGGGAAGCCAAAAATAGCATTGGTGACAAGCTTTTCCCTGCTGGGATTTTTCTCATGAGGCATTCTAATAATGCTCACACGGCCACTTTCCCACACCTGCTGATACTCTGGTTGAATTCAAATGAATGAAAGCCAAGATACAGCAGTTTTTTTGCTTTGTGACTTAAAAAAAGCCAGTTTATTTTAAGTTTTTTGGCAATATCAATAATAAATTGGACGTTGAGAAGCGAGGAAAGAGGAACCAGGGTCTTAAGGTTCATAGGTAAGAGGATAGAGAAAAAATTCTACAAAGAGTAAAGGTGGCCAAAGCAGCGAAGGAGAAAGAAAACACCTAAATGGATATTGAAGGGAAAGTCAACAGGTTGATCTGTGATACAGACTGTCCTTTACCACAGCCTTTAATGTGTGCTCAGTGTTCTATTAGGATATAAGAATCTTGACTCTGTAACACAGCATCTGTTTGGGTTTAGGTAACCTCTAAGTGAGGAATACCAGGGGAAAAGAGCATAGGAGAGAGCAAAAATGTTAGGATGTTGCATGTCTAGCTTTAACTAGATGTCCTATGGACATGTCAGCATCCTGTGGATGTTATGGGCACCCTAGCATAGTTACAGACCCTTACAGAAACATGCATTTGAACCTACTGAAAGGTGGTGGTGGACTTTAGGTCTCCTGAATAAGCACTCTGGTTTATTAGGCCGTTGTGGAAATGTGGGCTTCGCTTCTTCCTCTGTTCTTAAAAATGGAAGGCATTTTTGGTGCTATCAAGTGAGCTGTCTAGGATCTGTATCTTGAGTGTGTCAAAATGCCAAGCCTGTAGCCCTGACAGTGTTAGATCCTCTGGGCTCTAAACACAAGTGCAGTGTTTGAACTTGCCCCCAGCTGATTCCAGAAAGCTTTTTCTTACCCTTTTTTTGATCTTCTTTCAATGTTCCCAAGTTGCCTCATGCCTTGGCATAGAGAAGAACCAAAGGGCCTGACTGAGTTCTGCATTGGTGCTGTCTCTAAGCTGAGTCCACTGTGTGTTGAAACTTCTAAGCCCAGTTCAATTCCAGTGTAATTCTCTTACAGTCATGCAAACCCGGGCACTACTCCTTGTTTAACCCAGACACAGAGGCTTTCCAGGTTGCCTGGTTCCTGTTTCACACCTAGCAATACCTCCTTCTCCTCTATGGTTTCAAAGTAAAAAAATGGGGGTTTTATGTCAGTTCAGCTTATGCCAAATAGTCATTTGGGGTGAGTGGATGACTTGTACTCTGTTCTCTGAATTAGGCAAGGAGAACCCATAAATACAGCATTAACTTGATTAAGTGGGACACCATAAAAGAAGATGCCAGTGTTAGCAGGATTGTTAACGGTGTGTGCCAGCAATTTCCAACATAACTACCACACTGCTATTACTGTTGAGCAGAGTCCTTAGAAATGTCCACATCTTTCAGGCTGGCTTCTAATAGCAGCATTAGAAGAATTTGATAGCAAGAATCCAGAAAGCAAATATTTGCCTTCTTGGCTTTCACAGATTTAACTGCCCTGGCCTTCAACTGGTCAAGTCACAACCTGCTGTCCACAGCCTTCCGATGGAAGAAGTCTGCATTTAGTAACATAAATAGTGGCTTGCTTATCTCATACCCATGTCAAGGTGAGCTGCTTGTATAAAAACCCAACTTCCTTCAGCACCAGCCTCTCCATCAACTCCTCCGAGGATGAAGTCCCTGGTCCTGCTCCTCCTGCTGTCTGGTGGGTAGGTGGCACTCGCCGGGACTGGTAACACCGTTCCTCACTCTAACCTTTGTGTCTCTTCCCAGTGGGTGCAGCCAGCGGTGCCGGCTTATCCCGGGCCGTGTGGGAGTTCCGCAGCATGATCAAGTGCACCATGCCCAACAGCCGTCCTCTGCTGGAACTTGCTGACTACGGCTGCTACTGCGGCTTGGGAGGCAGCGGAACACCGGTGGATAACCTTGACAGGTTCGTAGGGCTCCGCTTTTACAAACCTCTTTCCTTCCTTGTGCTTTCACGGTTCTGGCCCTGCCTATAAATGTTCACCGACTCTCTGGCTGCCGTGAGTGAAGCTCTCTTCCAAAGACTGATTCAAGGAGAAAATGATGTGCAGTCTCACACCTTGATGCCCTATTACTAAGATAAAATATAATCCAAATGACTCTGTTTTCTGTGGCAGTTATGCTGCAGTTATTCCAGCTCTTTTTAATGCAGCAGTGCTGTGCCAGGAGCCTGGAGCCTGGATGCAGCTCTGCTCCCACTGGTCCATGCACAACAGCCGACACGTGCAAGGCTGAGCTGTAAAACACTAAGCAGCAGTATAGGCAGTTTAGAGATACCCAAGTCTGATGGCCAGGATGTGTTGAGTTGTGTTGGCTGTCAGCTCTTCAGTGACCTGGCACCGATAGGGCACGTAGGGTAAATGCTGGCTTTTGCTTTCCTAGTGCCCAGCAGACAACCGTGAAGATGTTCCACTCAGTCGATGTGTACCAGGCACCTTCTGGAGCGTTAGCTGGCAGAGCTGTGCCCCTTTGAGGTCCTTTGTATCTGCCCTCCTACCAATGAGTATCTATTTTTGTGTTCAGTGACTAGTCAAAGCAATATCAGTGTATTTACGTGTCTTACAGTTCAGCTGAGTCTGTGTTCCTGGTATTTTCTGACCTTTCCTTTCTTGTTTTCTAGGTGCTGTCAAGTACATGATAACTGCTACTCGCAGGCAAATAAACTAGAATCCTGCAGAACCCTGGCGGACAACCCCTACACAAATTCATACAGCTTCAGCTGCTCCAGCGGGCAGATTACATGTAAAAGTATGTCCACTTCCACATCACTCCAACCATCACCCCGGCCTCTCTTCTGAAGGAGAGTGGGCTGTTACACTCCACGCTTCTGTGGCACGATGGCACTGGGCAAGGCCCTGCCAGGGGGTTGGTTGTTAGACACAGGGCACCTCACGCAGGCACTAGGGTGGACATGGTCCATCTACCACACAGTTCTAAGTTTATTAAGATATAGGGAAACTTGTCCCCTCTGAGTGGCACTTTTGTTAGTCCTTTAATGCAGTATTTAAGAGATCAGCGTGCTAACTGGGAAGTTGCATCCCTAATGTAATGGTGGAGCTTTCAAAGGGCACCGGCATGGGGATAAACAGCGGATAGGCTGGCAAAGACCTGCAGGGAAGGAGAATAGGGGGCTGGCTGGGCCGGAGCACACAGCTCTGTGGCCAAAGGGTCAGTTTTGCCGTCGCACCCCCCAACCGACGGCAGCGGCGGGAGGGCTGTGCCCTGGCAGCACAAAGGTACCGCGATGGGGGCCGAAGGGAGGAGCTGCGGGTCTGACCACTCCTGCTCTCTCCTGCAGGCAGCAACAACGAGTGCGAGATGTTCATCTGCAACTGCGACCGGGCCGCCGCCATGTGCTTCGCCACGGCCACCTACAACCCCGAGTACAGCAGGCTGGACACCAAGCAGTACTGCAACTAGAGCCGCAGTGTTAACACCGCGGCGCGCTCCACCCGCAATAAACGCCTTGCAACGCCCGCGGGCCTCGCTGCGCCGCGCTGCGCTGCGCTGAGGGAACGGCTCGGGAGGGGGGGAACGGGGGCGTGTCTCTGCCAACGGTCCACTGGGGCGCGTGCGGCGGCCCCGCCCCGCGCTCTCTGATTGGCCATTGGGAGCGGGCGGCGGGAGCAGGTGCTCCCCAAGGGGCAGCCCCCCCCTCCCTGCGCGGTCCCGCGACCTCCCCTGAGGTACCCGCGGGGCCGCGCTCCCCACTGAGGTATCCGCGGGGCCGCGCTTCCTCCTGAGGTACCCGCGGGGCCGCGCTCCCCCCCTGAGGTACCCGCGGGGCCGCGCTCCCCCCCTGAAGTACCGGCGGGGCCCCCTGAGGTACCCGCGGGGCCGCGCTCCCCCCCGAGGTACCGCGGGGGGTTGAGGTACCCGCGGGGCCGCGCTCCCCCCCTGAGGTACCCGCGGGGCCGCGCTCCTCCCCTGAGGTACCCGCGGGGCCGCGCTCCCTCCTGAGGTACCCGCGGGGCCGCGCTCCCCACTCAAGAACCGGCGGGGCCCCCTGAGGTACCCGCGGGGCCGCGCTCCCATCTGAGGTACTCGCAGCCCCGCGGCTGCTCGCTCTTGCCAGGGTCTCTTCAGGTCTGCCCTCCCTCACCCTCCCAGGAAGGATGGAGCACAGCCGCTGAGCCCCGCGGCTGCCCCCGTGTCGGCTACCGCACTGCTGCCCCTCTTGGGGGTGTGTATCCCCCGGGGCATGTCTGTGTGAGGGGCTTGAGCCTCTGGCTGTTTGCTGCTCTGGGAGACCCTTATGAGGGAGGTCTGCGCCTGTCCAGCGCTGTGCGTCCTCAGGAGCTGGAGGGAAAGGGGAGACGTTGTCCTGGAAACCAGGGGAGGGCAGGGAGCCTCTCTAAAGGACCATATCTGCCCCAGTTTTTTCTGCCCTGACAGCGTCCTGTGCCAAAGTTTCCACCCAGACTTGGTTCTGTCACGCTACAAAGGTGGTTTTGCTGGCAAACTCTTTTAGGAAGGTGGTGGTGAGCTGTGGCAGGGGCTGTTGTGCCCCTGCTTCCTGACAGGGCAGGAGGAAAGCCATGCTTCATCCCCAGGAAACAGCTCTCTTGCCTCCACCAGCTGGAGAAGAGCATGCAGCCCACCCTGTCATCTTTGATCAGGTACAGGATGGAGACCTTGGATGAATTTGACAACGGGTATCCTCTCAGTGTATCGTTTTGCAAGCTGATTTCATTAGAGGAATTTGAGGAGCCGTCCTCGTCCTACACCCAGCAATGCCTGCATGAACTGTACTCAGACATGGAGCAGAACCCAAGGATCTGCGAGAGGGCCCTGAGAAATCAGAAACAGATGGAGAAGGAAGCAGCTGGCTTGATATCTTATTTGAAGGTACTTGCAATGCTTCCCTCGTGAAGGTCATGGGATTTTTTGAGGGCATTGGGATGATAATGAGATGGTGAATCACACTTTTTTTCCTCTTACAAAAAGTGTGTGTCTCAGCCGGGTACTCTATCTTCAGGCAGATTGAGTCCTAGTTTTGTACCAATATTCATTGCATATTTTTCCTTGGGTGTTTGTGTACAAAACTGTACAAAATGTTTTAATTTCCTGGAAATATTGAGTTGTTGGGGTCCTCCACAGAAATTCTGAGGATCCTGGCTGCACTCCCACCATTGGCTGAGATGAACCATTCCTAGAGCTAGAAGTGCAAGATGAGGTCTCCTGTCCTCAACTGTTTGTAGAATAGTAAAGGTCCTAAGTGAACGTTACTGAAATATCTTTGTAGGGATAAATAATAAATCCCATTGTAGAGAAAAAAGTAAAATACCATCACTAGAAGAAACATGGTACTTTTGAGCTGTAGCAGCACAAGCAGGAAAGAGCTGGGGTGCAGCATGTCAGAAGCTATTGGTATAAATTTTTCCTTGTGGTAGGAATTCTCTAGATTTGAGGTGAGTAGTTTATGTCCTGGTATCCAGCATTTGGGCCATGCTGGCCTTCCCTAACTAAGCTCAATTGGGTAGGTGAAGGCACCAATTCACTCTCTCTCTCTGACTCCATACAGGTTTTTATAAGCCTGCACTTATGTTTAGTCCCTTGATGATGTGTCTCATTTACATGTCACTTTAGCAGTGTAAAGGACCTAACAGTAAATTTAAACAGCCCCCTGAGCCAGCCCATAGACAGGGAATCCTCCCACATCATATAAAGTGAGAGGCCCCAGTAAATGGTGCAGCTGGGGATGCTGAAGGGGTTGTGCAAAGTGGCTCTTCAGGAATGTTGTGGCCAGAGCCTCAGAGCAGGCCAGTGATTGCTTTAAGTGACTTACTGCCAGCTTGTGGGGAGTACAAATGTAAAGATCTTCTGCCATCCTGGTCTGTGTTTCTGTTTCAAGGCCAGAAGCAGAGCACCCGAAATACCAGGTGCTCTGCAAGCGTGGGAGCTCTGAAACCCTATGCACACACCCCCACAGCTGGTGTGTGAGATGCTGGGGGGATGATGGCCCTATGTTGCAGAAGTGAAGTCCCAGCCTTCCTCTTCTCTATTGTTGTTTCCTAGGCCAAGATTTTTCGGGCTCTGCAGGGAGACCTGAATTACTCTAACTCTATGGGTGGTGCAGAGATGAAAGAGAAAGTGCTTCAGCTGAGATGAGACATGCAGATTGCAAACAACTATGCTCATAGTAATGAGCATGTTTCAGTTTCTGTTTGGGCCTGGAGACCAATAGTAGACACTTGTACTATTGCTCTTTCTCTCAGGCTCAGCTCTCCTTCTCTGCTCCTATCTTTTTAGTGATGCAGAAGGGGAAAAAAATGCAGAAATTGGTAATTTTGTATCTTTCCCTGATGGGAGGAGGGAGAATGGGGGGCTGCACTCTGAACTGCAGATATCAATGTATCTGGAAGAGTGGTTTTAAACCCCAACTGGCTTGACTTTGTCTTTCACTTTCCTAAAGCAGTTTCATTCCTGATCATTCAGGTAAGATCTGGGGCAGAATAGTGATACTGTTTTTCTACCATCTCTTTCGTGGTTTTCCTCAGTAGACCTCAGAAAAGGCATGGGCCACACAGTATTACGTCTATTGCAACATGGAGAACAGATTCAGAGAGGCAAAGTGGCTTTCTGAATGTCACAGTGTGACTTCTGGATTAATCAAAGGACTGAGAGTTCACTCTGGTCTCGTCCTTCCAAGCCTAGTGCCCTGCCCCCTGGGCAGCACTACCAAAGTTTCCCTCTTCACTTTGATTCCTCTGTGTGCCTCTTGGTTATCCTGTGGCCTCTGGGGCTGGGTGCCCCAGAAAATAAGAGACATAAAGAATATGCATCTGTTGGAGCAGCAATGTCTGTTAGAATAGATGGAAGAACATGTGAGTAATAAATATGCAGCATTTTGAAAGCACTTACTGCTAGTGTTCCACAAACAAGGTACAGAATAAAACACACACAGTGAAGGGGATTGCAAACCACTGAGTTGAAAATATTACTTTGATTTTCATTTCAGAGGGAGAACTTACTGCTGTTGAAGTCTGTATTAAAAATTCCTTAAGTCAGAAGAACTTAGGTCTCTATTTAATATTTTCTTCTCTGGCCCCAAGTTGAAGCCTGATTTTTAGTTTCCAGGCCATATAGTGGGTGTATATAAGCCTCTAAGAAGTTGGACAATTATCACTCTTCAGCACTGACTGTTCCTGCAGTTTGGGTCAGTGGGGCAAGGCCCTCAGAGTGAAATAAATCAGATCCTGTGTGGTTCATATGCCAACTGTTGCAGAGCTTCTTTTCCCTGCATCTCTCCTCTCTGGGGCCTGATCCACTCCCTCCCCACCCCCCTGATTGGCCCAGCTCCTGTTGAGAGTGTCACTGGCCTGCAGCTCCTTGGGCACCACCTGTATGCCTTATGTGAGAAACCACACTGCTTACACTGTGTACACAACACCAAAAATCTCCTGTAGCCCACCAAGCTGGAGTATAGGAATAGCCAGCTGTGCTAGACATAGAGAAGTCTGTGATGTGCAAAAATCCTCAAAGCCAGTCACTGCTCTGCTGGTATCGAGTGAAATAAGCAGCTATCAAAGTAAGTGCTCCACAGACTTTGTCATGCATTTGGTCTGGTGGCTGGGCCTGCTGGTGGGATGCCAAGGCTGTGGGATGCCAGTGCTGCTGTCATAGGAATGGGAACCATATGTGTTTCTTAGGTCACCCTCTCTTACCCTATTTTGTTGTGGAGAGTGGTCCTTGGAAAGACGGGCAGTATGGAGATAGGAACAAGGCTCAGAATACTTTCTTTCATGGTATTTTTGAGAGACCAGTGACTGTTTATTGATGACTGGAACTCAAAAACTTTACCCAGCTTGTCTCTGAAAATTTTAGTGACTTTCTGGATTGTGTCAGACTGCTTAAGTCTACTAAAACATGCTTGCTCCTAGAGCTAGATGCTCTTTTGCCACCTGGAGAGAAAAGAGCAGGTTCAATACAAATACAAATACAGTTTCTGCTGTGGCTCTTTGTACATGCATGCTGTTTATTCCTGTTTAATAGGCAGGAGAAGTCTTTTTAAGACAGTGTGAACAGGACTGAGCATCAGTGGAGACTGTTACAAGTGAGGGAGCAGAAGTGATAGCTTGCAACACTGTGTACAAGCCATGAACCTGGCTTCCTAAATGTGAGGGTTTGCTGAGCAAGTGCTTAGATGCTCAGCTGCCTGTGCCCCATTGAGCTGAACTGCATACCTCTGTCTAGAAAGAACCTAGATATTCTGTTGGTTTAATTGCTCTGTCATGCAGCCTTACCTCCTTGAACTGCTGTTGTCTCTTGGCAGTGAGGATGAGGTTCACTCATAGGTTACTTGTTCCCTGTGCTTTAGCCTATGACTAGCATATGCTTCTCTCACACTGTATCTGCATGGGGGAGGTGGGTAAAAGCCTGCTGAGAGGAATTTCTGCTCCCTTCCCCAATGCGCCAAGGGGTAGTG